CTTTCGAATTTACTTTCTTTGGAAGTTATCGCATAGTTATTGCAAACATGCTCGCCCTTTCAGCCGTGGGGGCGTTATAATGTGATGGTCAATCCCACTATTCGTTGGTAAAAGAGTAGCCCAAGAGTTGGCGGTGGGTGGTGATGACTAGCTGCCTTCCCTCTAGTCTTACACTGCTAAATTAGGGGCGGCTAGCGCAGATAGCCCTAGTGTAGCTTTGCGGGAAATTAAAAAAAAACAAAAACAAATTAGTGGAACACCCTTTCCGTTAAAAGCCACTTCCAAAGGAATGTAGGAGTGGGGAATAGTCTTACGAGAACTCATTAGATTGACCAGATTAAGCGTTCAAAGTCGTGGTTCAAACGCTATTTCAGATCATGTGGTGATATATCATTAAATTGGCCAGAGTATAATGCGGAAGCTGACATAAACCCAATTCAGAGTAGTCATTATGACGAAATATTACAGTAAGTCTACAAATAATTTTTCTATATTAATACTTAAAAATGGTACTGTGATACTTCCTCATGCTGTTTGAACTAAAAGATACAGGTCGACTTAATTTCATGGTAAAGAACATGATAATGTCAGAAATAATCTGTAGACAATAATCATTTTATATAAGTGTTTATCTATTTGTAATTAAGCACAAAGCTGGCCTGGTGGTTAGGTGGCGAGTCGAATCCTCGTCACCGAATATGCTTGTCCTGTATGGTTGACGACTGGGCCAGCCACCCGTGTATAAATATTTTTGGCTGACAAAAATATCAGCAGACCCCAAACAAGTTGGTATTAAGGAGTTAAGCCAACCACGGGTTTTTAGCGTTATAAGCGTTATACTTTCCGCTGCACCACTTGCACAATACAAATATACAAGATACACGACATTAATTCCAATCAACTGTTTAATTTCATCATTTAAAAAATACTGGGCTGGGCTTGACTACTAGTTAGAGCGCCGGACTGTGAATCCGAGAGTCCGTGGTTCGCATTCCGTTATCGCTCGTATTTTGAGCCTTGAGTACATTATAAGAGTGACGGTCAAATCCCACATTTCGGGTTAAAATTGCCCCAAAGTTGGCGGTAGGTGCTGTCGGCTAGCTTCCTTCTTTCTAGTATATCAATTCAAAATTATAGGCAGATAGCCCTTGTGTAACTTTATGCGAATATCTGAGAAAAGTGGCAAATACAATAACAGGTGGCGATGTCTTAGTTAACACAAAACAACTATTACACGATTACTATTTAAGTAAAAACTTTGGCAAAAGTTCAAAATAAAATTTGTTAAAAATGTAATGTAAATAACATCATACAATTAATAACAGAAATCGCACTAAATAATGCTTGTTATATTTGAATTTGGTTTCATAAAATTAAAATAAATAAACAGTAACCAGTCTGTGTTATTTAGCATTTATGACATCATACGTATACATGTTTACGAAATTAAACGTAAAAATAATACATGTTAACGTTTTTCAACTGTTTCATCCGCAGATGTAAAATAATTTTACTGAAACAAAAATATAATACCGATAGGCTTTAAATTTGAAGAAAGTTTGAATCCATACGGTACGCTTTATAAAAAGAAATGTGTGTGGTAAAATAGCTATACAGAGAAGAAATTGTCTTAGGTAAGTATATTGATAAGCTTACGTAGTTCAGAAAATACCGAATATTAGTTCAGTTGGTAATGGCGTTTGTTTTTCGTCATATTTGTTGACTGGGATCGAATCCAGAGAACTGGTTAACATTTAGTTTTGAATGGCACAGAATATTATTTGTTTGTTTGTTGAACTTCGCGCAAACCTACTTAAGGGCTATCTGAACTAGCCGTCTCTAATTTAGAAATGATAGACTAGAGGGAAGGCAATTGTTCAATCTCATCCACCGATACCATTTGGGTTACTCTTTGTGAACTAGAAGTGGAACTGACCATCACGTTATAACGCTTCCACTGTTGAAAGGGCGAGCATGTTCCATGACGGAATTCGAACCCACGATCCGCAGATTGCCAGCTGAACGTTTGAACGACTACAGAAGAATTAAACCCCATGTTTAGCACTGCCCTGTACAGAAATTTTTCTGACCAACTGGAAACAAGGACTGGGATTTGCAGAGGGAATTTACGATTTGCTTATCAAGATATCAGTCGAGTGTGATATCATTAAGACTACGTATTTCAACCACAATTGTTCTTAAACTAAAAGAGTTAATGCTAGCTACATTTGTAAATTTTAAATATTTTCGTTGTAACCTATAACTGTCAATAATAGGGGGGGGGGTAAAAGAAGGAATTTAGTTTTGAAGGTTTTTGTTAGTGTACCATTTCGAGATAAAGGTGCATCGACAAATCTTTGAAACGACGAACCTAACTGAAGCTATATTTCTTTTGTTGTTGTTGTTGCTAATTGTTATGTTACACAATGGGCTATCTGTGCCGTGTTCACCACAGGGACCGAGCCCCGGATTTTAGCGTTATAAGCACTCAAGCTTAATGGTTCATAATACTAATTTAAGCAGTTGTATATTAGTTAATATAATTTTGGTAATGCCGGTTGATTTTGCTCAAAATTCAAGCAAAAAAATTAAATTAAATATGTTTTTTTTTACAACACTTCTGACATATAATTTAAAATCGTTTCTCAAGTTTTTCTATACATTGTGTTTAATATAATTCGATCGCTTAACAAGTATTCATTGTTGAACGTTGATTTTAGTCTTTATCCAAGGACTTACAACTCTAAAATCTGGGTTTCGAGACCCGTGGTTGGCAGAGCACAGCTAGCCCATTGTGTAGCTTTGTGCTTAATTACAAACAAACAAACTTTATCCAATGCCGCAATTGATGGTCCAACAATTGAACTGACCAAAGAACAATCATATGAATTATTTAGTTGTTAGGCAACAACTTAAAAGGTTATTTTGATGTTAATTTGCGTGTACCAGTGATAAAAGTCAAGGTAAAATCCCACTGATAGTCTACATTTTATTTTCATGCCAGCAATCTATTTTTAAACTACTTTGTGGGGCTGCAGTTTCTCATAGGTGTACAGCTGTGCTATGTCTATCAATAAATCAACACACACACACATAGAAAATACTTATCTTGCCATCATTCCAAAACAAAACAAAAGATTCTGTTTTCTATAAGCTAGCGCGATTATCCAGTTGATAATTTAAAAAATTAGAATCATACTAA